TCTTTTTTTTTTAATTAATTAATTTTATTTATTTATTTTTGGCTGTGTTGGGTCTTCATTGCTGTGCGCGGGCTTTCTCTAGTTGTGGCGAGCAGGGGCTACTCTTCTTTGCAGTGAGCGGTCTTCTCATTGCGGTGGCTTCTCTTGTTGCGGAGCACAGGCTCTAGGCGCGCAGACTTCAGTAGCTGTGGCACGCGGGCTCAGTAGTTGTGGCTCATGGGCTCTAGAGCACAGGCTCAGTAGTTGTGGCGCACGGGCTTGGTTGCTCCGCAGCATGTGGAATCTTCCTGGACCAGGGCTCGAACCCCTGTCCCCTGCATTGGCAGGCAGATTCTTAACCACTGCACCACCAGGGAAGCCCCCATCCAGCACTCTCTTGCCTTCATGCCTTTTCTGATTGTGTCTCTTCATCTTCATATTTCCATGCCCTCCTCACCATCCATCTAGGCTCAAATGCTCCTTACTCTGTGAAGTCATCTTGGAATCTCCTTGCTGGGAGTGAACTCGCTATTAAACTTCCCTTTTATGATACCACTTTCTACTCTGAGTTTTGGCTAGTTTTGCACATGTCCTATTTTCCTTACTGGACCTGGCCTTTGCAATGTATGCCATTTTTAACTTTCTTTAGGATACAATCCATTGTTATTTATCTGCTACAGCAGTCTTTCCCAAAGGAATGTCTATAACCCATAAGGACTGTGTGGTGGATTTTCAATAATGTACATTCTTTGATCTTAGTATATTTCTTTAATCTTATCACATCTTTCTTACTTTTCTTGGTGTTAAGTTATACTTTATTTTACGAAAGGATGGTGATAGTAGATGGCAGGTAGTATTCTTCAACATCCTTGTTCAGTAAAATAAAATTTGGAAAATCTATTTTAGTCCCCTCTGATCTCCCATATATATATATATTTGTGTGTGCGTGTGAAATCCATAAGTTTGGGAACCACTGCCCTGTAGAACCTACCATAGTCCCTTGCTCTTAGGAGGTATTCAATATAAAATTCTTTTGTCTCTACTTTCCGTATATCCAGAATACAATACAACCACTTCTCCTAACAACCATTGTCATCATTTTGGTTCAAGCTCCCACAATCGCAAGCCTGCATTACTACAATAAATCTCCTACCTGAACTCCTTGCATCTGCCCAACCATACAAGTCTATTCTCCTGAGTCAGTGTTTGGCAAATGTTTCCTGTAAAGGACCAGATAGTAAATCCTCTGGGCTTCCTGGGCTATATTGTCTTCACTGCAGCTACTCAACGCTTCCAGTGAATGCAGACATAGATGACACAAAAACAAATGGGTGTGACTGTATTTCAGTGAAACTTTATTTACCAAAACAGGTAGCTGGCCCTCAAGGCTCTAGTTTGCTGACTCTTGTTCTGAGTGATCTTTTAAAATTTTTAGTCAGATCATGTCACTCCTCTGCTTAAAACCCTCCAACGGCTTCTCGCTTCACTCAGAGCAAAAGCCAACATTTTTGCAGAGGCCTGCAAGGCCCCACGTGATCTCCTCCTGCCCAGTATCCCCGACAGCTCTGCTCTGACCTTGCCTTCCTGTGGTTCACTGTCCCGGAGCCACAGGGGCCTCCTCGCTGCTCCTCACACATGCCAAGCGTGCTCCGGCTCTTGCCTCTGTGCGGTGTTTTCCTCCCCAGAGCCAGTGTGGCACCTCAATCACGCACTCAAAAATCACCTCGAAGGAGAAGCTTTCCTAAAAAGCAACACCCCTCCCCCACTCAACCCACAATTGTCCACAACTCCCTATCTCTCCTTCCTGGTTTCTTTTTCTCAATAGCACTTATTTTCATCTGGTATAATATATATTTATTTAGTTACCTATTTATTGCCAGTCTTACCTCGCTAGAATTAAGGCCCTGAGGGCAGAGTCTTTGTTTTATACTCTGTGCTATATTCAGAGTCTACCAAAGTGCTTACATTGAGTAGGTCATCAGTAATACTTGTGGAATAATTAAGGAATGAATGGATGTACCTTTGATAGGGCATCAGAGAAAAGAGGGATCGGTGAGGTATAATAGTATGAAAAGCTTCAAGAAAGGCACTGAATGCTAGAAAGTAGACAGAGCACCAAGAAAGGGGCGTAGAGTGAGGGGCTAAGCCTACAATGTCCATTAGCACCCACAAGCTTCCACAAATGAACACACGACCTGAGTAAAAGCAGGGTGTTTGCTCTGCAAGTGCATTTTCAAAGCAAGGCCCTTATGGTCGCCTAATCACGTAGCCTTCCTTGAGCCAGCCTCCCACCCCCCTCTCTCCCTTCCCCCCGAACTGGCCACTTAAGAGTTTGAAGCTGTCATGGACAGAATCCACTGGGTGTGAGGTTGCCACTGAAGGTTTTTAAGCAAGGGAGGGAGGGGATTATATCAGTATTTGGGCATCTAGCGTCTGTGTCTTAAATGGAAGGTTTAGAGAGTGGTGGCTGTTAGGCGTTAGGAGAACGTCAGGAGCCTGGTGTAATCATTTAGGCAGGCTGTGATGGAATCTGGGCTGGGGGAAGGGTGAGGAAGTAGGGAGGAAAAGAGACTTGAGGTCGACAGTTTGAAGGAGGAACTGACGTACTTGAATGTCACAATTGCTGTTAAGTAAAGCAGTAAAGTAGAAACAACTTAAAGGCCCATCAATAAATGAACTGCTCAATACAACCTTGCAACCATGGAATATTATGCAGCCAAAAATGATAATGTAGATCTATATTTACAGACATGCTATTCATCAAAGACTATGAAATGAGAAAAGCAGATATAGTATGATTCCATTTTTATTAAAAAAAATGACGGGCTTCCCTGGTGGCGCAGTGGTTGAGACTCTGCCTGTCAATGCAGGGGACACGGGTTCGAGCCCTGGTCTGGGAAGATCCCACGTGCCGCAGAGCAACTAGGCCCATGAGCCACAACTACTGAGCCTGCGCGTCTGCAGCCTGTGCTCCGCAACAAGAGAGGCCGCGACAGTGAGAGGCCCGCGCACCGCTATGAAGAGTGGCCCCTGCTCACCACAACTAGAGAAAGCCCTCGCACAGAAACGAAGACCCAACACAGCCAAAAATAAATAAATAAATTTATAAAAAAAAAAATGACGTGTAGGTAAGGGGAGGTGGCTTAAACACGCATAGAAGAAAGTTTAGAAGGAGATACATCAATATGTTAACGATGGTCATCTGTGAGTGGTGGGATGACGGGTGAGGTTTTTACCTTATCTAATTTCTACTTTAATCCAAACATGGATGGCTTTTATAATAGAAACAAACTAACAACAAATAATGCAATGAATAAAATGAATACCACAAACCTCAAACTCTCTCCAGGATCCCATACTCTGAGTACACCGTCATTCCCCAAAGAGCTATCCCTAAGCTCTGGCAGAACTAGAAGGGCTAATTGTTTCTCCAGAGGCATTGGATAGGGAAGGGCAGAATAGTAACAGCAAGGAAGAAAGAAGGGTAATGGGAGGGAAGGCGGGTGGGGGGGGGGGGGGAGGGGGAGGGAGCAGGGAAAAAGATTCACCTTTTACCATTAAGGTCTTGAGCAAACAGAACCCAAAAAGGAGGAGCAGACTGGAGCCTGAACTGGGGTTGCAGCTCCCCAGAGGCAGGGCCAGTTTGTAGGCTAAGCAAGGAAATACTTAGTCCAGGCTGAGGAAGTGGTGATATTTTATGGGTTGAGGGGTCCAGGGACCTCCCCAGAAACCACCCCAATTACTGGATTTGTAAGGGAAGGGTCCTGCCCACACACACTTTAAGACACATGCTCAGGGCTTACAGGGCTCGTGGATTCCAGGGTAGTCACTGAATTCCAGCACGTAGAGGTGTCTTCCCTTCACACTGCGCCCAATGCTGTAAACCCGCGTGACATGGGGACATTCATTGTGCACCTTGTACAGCGTCCGCACGAGGTCATCATAGCGGTGGTGGCGAAAGGTCACCGGGGCAACCAACTTGAAGAGAAGGAGCTGGAGGAAAATTGAGACCAGGTCTGACATCTTGCTGGGCTTTTTCAGAGACCCACTAAAATGGGCCCCGCTTCTCCCAGTAACCAGTCAAAATCCAAGGGCCAAGAACCAGCTTTTCCTAGTTTCCCGCCAGTAAACACCAGTGTGACAGTGCCTGGGAAGAAAGTTCAGAACTGTCCCTCCAAAGCCAGAAGTTATTTATGTAGCTCTGGAATAGGCACTCATCTCCCCTCCCCCATTTCTCTGCCTCTCCTAATCCATGAAAACCTTTTGAAAGGTTTTTGCACTTCTTCAGATTGGGTCGTTTCACTGATTCTGGTTTACTGATTAACTGGACTGTAAACAGGCTTCAATAAATAGCTGCTTATAACCCTTTGATTCCCGGAGAATTTTGAGAAGCTTGGCCTGTCCTTGTTCCCTATATTACAATATAGGAAAGGGTATTAAAATAGAACACTCTGTCCTTTTGATCCTTTCTACATCCTATCTTTCTGAAGCACAGCTCTGTCTTGTCCTTTTTCTCCTCAAAATCCTTCAACAGGGCTTCCCTGGTGGCGCAGTCGTTGAGAGTCCGTCTGCTGATGCAGGGGACATGGGTTCGTGCCCCGGTCCGGGAAGATCCCACATGCTGCGGAGCGGCTGGGCCCGTGAGCCATGGCCGCTGGGCCTGCACGTCCAGAGCCTGTGCTCCACAACTGGAGAGGCCACAACAGTGAGAGGCCCGCGTACCACAAAAAAAAAAAAAAAAAAAAAAAAACCAAAAAACCTTCAACAGATACCATCGAGAAAATGAGGTGAGCCCCAGGTTGGGAGAAAACAGTTGCCAATCATGTATCTGACAATATATCCAGAATAAATCAAGAACTCTTACAACCCAGTAATAAAACAAACAACCCAATTTAAAAGTGGGGAAGGGGGCTTACCTGGTGGCACAGTGGTTGGGAGTCCGCCTGCCGATGCAGGGGACGCGGGTTCGTGCCCCGGTCCGGGAGGATCCCACATGCCGCAGAGCGGCTGGGCCCGTGAGCCGTGGTCGCTGAGCCTGCGCGTCCGGAGCCTGGGCTCTGGAATAGGAGAGGTCACAGCAGTGAGAGGCCCATGTACCGCAAAAAAACAAAACAAAACAAAACATAAAAGTGGGGAAAAGATTTGAATAGACATTTTATTCAACTAAAGTAGATATATGAATGACTAATGAGCACATTAAAGATGTTCAACACTATTGGTCATTAAGGAAATGCAACTTAAAACCACAATGAGGGCTTCCCTGGTGGCGCAGTGGTTGACAGTCCGCCTGCCGATGCAGGGGACACGGGTTTGTGCCCCGGTCCGGGAAGATCTCACATGCCGCGGAGCAGCTGGGCCCGTGAGCCATGGCCGCTGAGCCTGCGCGTCTGGAGCCTGTGCTCCACGACGGGAGAGGCCACAACAGTGAGAGGCCCGCGTACCACAAAAACAAAAAAACCCCACAAAAACAACACAATGAGATATCACATCACACCCACTAGAATGGCTGTAATCAAAGAGACACAATAACAAGTGTTGTCAAGAATAGGGAGAAACTAGAAACCTCATATATTGCCAATGGGAATATAAATAGTGCAGCCACTTTGGAAAACAGTTTTGCAGTTTCTTAGAAGTTTAAATATATACTTACTATACAATCCAGCAATTTCCTAGGTATCTACCCAAGAGAAATGAAAACATATATCCACACAAAAACTAGTATGTAAATGTTCATAGCAGTATTATCCACAATAGAAAAGTAGAAGCAATCTAAATATCCATTAACTAATGAATGGATAAACAAAATATGGCATATCCATGCAATGGAATATCATTTGACAATGAAAAGGAGTGAAGTACTGATACATTGTACAAGATGGATGAACCTTAAAAATATTATGATCAGTGAAAGGAGACACAAAAGATCACATATTATATGATCCAATTCATAGGAGATGTTTAGAAAACACAAACATATAGAGACAGAAAGTAAACTAGAGGTTGGCTAGGGCTAGGAGTGAAAATGCAGAGTGACTACAAATGGGCACAAGATGTCTCCTTAGGGTGATAGAAGTGTTCTAAAGTTAGATTGTGGTGACTGTACAACTCTGTAAATACACTAAAATTCACTGAATTGTAAACGGGAAGCAGATGAATTTTATGGTATACAAATTATATGTCAATAGAGGTGCTTTTAAAAAATAAATAAAAATAATTAAGTACAGCCACCCAAAAGTTAACTATGAATTTACCATACAACACAGCAATTCCACTCCTGGGTACCTACCCAAGAGAACAAAGACTTGTACACAAGAATATTCATAGCAGCATTATTTGTAGTAGCCAAAAAGTGGAAACTACCCAAGTGTCCACCAACTGATGGATAAATAAAATGTGGTATATCCATACAATTGAACATTATTCAGCAATAAAAAGGAATAAAATACTAATACATGCTACAACATGGATGGACTTCAAAAACACCATGCTAACTGAAAGGAGCCAACACAGAAAACCCTCTTATTGTATGATTCCATTTATATGAAATGTCCTGCAAAAGTAAACTTACAGAGACAAAGTAAAATAGTGACTTACTAGGGCTGGGAGTGGAAAAGGAGATTCACTGTAAATGGGCATGAGGGATCTTGCTGGAGTGATGAGAATGTTCTAAAACTGGGTGATGGTGATGGTTGCATAACTTGGTAAATTTACTAGAAATCACTGAATTGCACACTTAAAATGGATGAATTTTATGGTATGTAAGTTATACTCCAATAAAGTTTTTTTTTTTAAACAAAGTTTCAGTGGAATTTCATGCACTAGAGTGTAAAATCCAAATGCTTCTGCCTGGTTTTCAAGTCACTCCTACCAGGTCCAATTGTGACCTCACTCCAGTGCAGCCCTTCTGCAGTGCCTACTGTCTTCCGGGCATGCCCTCATCACCTGCTTTCCTGCTTTTGCTTATGTTCTTTCCCCAGGTAGCTTAACTCAGCTCCAAACCCTGGGTCTTCCTCATGTCCCCTTGCAATTGCTGTTACCATCAGTCTTTGTATCTCCAATCTTATGACTTTGCCTGTTATGCACTTATCCACTGTGCTAGGTGTTAGGTGTTAGGATAGAGGGCAGCCCTGCTGATGCATTGTTCCTGCCCCCCCAGGATGATCGTCAGCCTCTAGCACACAGCCTGGCATGGGGGCACATGTGTTGAATGAATGAATAGACCCATTATTGACCTTTCCTCTTGCATCCTCCTGCACTTCAGCAAACGTTTCCAAGGAAATCCTATGCTTTTCTTACCTGTCAGTAAAGACAGCTATCAACTCTTGGTTATACTGGGTGAACAAACTATAGCCAGGCCAGTCTGGCCCACAGATGGTCTAGAGAGTTGGCCCAAGATCAGTACCAAATCAGCAGTACCACGGAGTAAAAACCACAGGATTTTGCACCCACTGCTAAAATCCCATAATTTTCTGATGAGATCCTGACACCCCAGGTGGTGAGGGCAGGCATCAAGAGAAAAAGCTGAAAGGACATCACTAATGCTGTTACACATTAAGCCTTTGATCTAGGACTGATGAGATAAAATTTATATTTTAAGGCAGGACAAGAAAAAAACTAAACATAAAATTTTCTCTGTGTGTTTGTTTGGACCTCCTCCCTCCCTCCCTCACGTGCAGTGTGCATCCACATTACACATTAACCAGAGCTCCTCAAAGATGGGCCTGCTCTACAGTAAAGATCAATTTTTTTCCTAGCAATGTAACTTCTTAAAAGAATAGTGTTCGTTCCCAGCTCTGTAGGGGGTCGTGGCGACTTGCCGCTCGCTTTGTACGTGCTTACGTGGACCATGTATCCTTGGTGAACTTTATGTAAAATATCAATATGTCACTTTGATGTACAATCCTTTGTCTCGAAAACGTATGTGACTGTGCCTTAGACTCCTAACAGGTGGAACGGTTCTCAGAGCTTTCTAAGAATATGCTTCCCGGAATGGGCATCATCAGAAAATCTACAAACAACAAATGCTGGAGAGGGTGTGGAGAAAAGAGAACCCTCCTGCACTGTTATATATATATAATATATATAATATATAATATATAATATATATTATATATATCAATATACAGCCACTATGGAGAACAGTATGGAGGTTCCTTAAAAAACTAAAAATAGAACTACCATATGACCCAGTGATCCCACTACTGGGCATATACCCTGAGAAAACCATAATTCAAAAAGACACATGTGGCGCATGCTCCGCCCACCCCAGAGCCTCGCCCTCTGCCACGATGAGCAAATGAGGGCCAGAGAGGGCGTGAAATTTAAATTCCACTCAGAGGAGAAAGTGTTGTGCTTCGAGCCTGACCCCACCAAGGCACGAGTGCTGGATGATGCCAAGATTGTCCATGTTATTGTTGGTAAAGGCAGAAAGATCCCAGAATATCTGATCCATTTGAATAGTTGGAACAGAAGCTGGGATAGATGGGCAGCTGAAGATCATGTCCTTTGTGACACCGATGAAAATTGGAGATTACAGTGTAAATTGGCAAGAAAAGCTGTAGCTCGTCTGAGAAGCACAGGAAGAAAGAGGAAGCGCTGCAGGTTGCCAGGTGTGGACTCTGTCTTAAAAAGCCTCCCTGCTGAAGAAAAAGATGAAAATGTTGAAAACTTAATAAGTAGTTCCTCTGATGACAGTAGTGAAGAAAAGGATGAAGAAATAAGTGAAGAAAGTGACATTGAAGAAAAGATTGCCGTGAAGGAAGAACCAGAGCTGCACACAAAAAAGGAAATGGAAGAAAGAACAATAGCTGTAGAAATCCCTGAAGTTCTGAAGAAGAAGGCTGAGGACGATTGTTACTGTATCAACAGGAGGAAACGGTTAGTGAAACTTTCATGCCAGACCAACATCATAACTATTTTGGAATCGTACGTGAAGCATTTTGCTATCAATACAGCCTTTTCAGCCAAGGAGAGGCCTCATCCCCATCAGGCTATGCCACACGCCAACATGAGTGTGCATTATATCCCAGCAGAAAAGGACGTTGACCTTTGTAAGGAGATGGTGGATGGATTAAGAATAACCTTTGATTACACTCTCCCATTGGTTTGGCTCTATCCATATGAACAAGTTCAGTATAAAAAGGTGACTTCGTCCAAATGTTTTCTTCCGATTAAGGGAAGTACCACAAACGCTAATCGGAACCCGGAGGATCTCTCTCCAAGCCCACCTTTGTTGAATCCATCCACACCACAGCCCACAAAGAGTCAGCCAACCACAGGCAAGCCAGCCGCCCCCAAAAGGTGCAAAGCTGAGCCGGAAGCCTTGCAGTCTCTGAGGAGGTCCACACGCCACTCTGCCAATTGCGACAGGCTGTCTGAGAGCAGCGGCTCGCCTCAGCCCAAGTGCCGGCAGCAGGACACGTCTGCCAGCACGCCCAAGCTGTTTCTGCACCTGGAAAAGAAGACGCCTGTTCATAGCCGATCATCCTCACCTGTTCCTCTGACCCCTAGCAAGGAAGGGAGTGTGGTGTTTGCTGGCTTTGAAGGCAGAAGAACTAATGAAATAAATGAGGTCCTCTCCTGGAAACTTGTACCTGACCAGTTACCCCCCAGGTGACCACCTCCACCCTCTTAAATTTATGGGGCGCAACACTTGCTGCAATTGTTCGTGAAACTTCCAGAAATCCTTGGAAAGATGTCCTTTTCTGAGAAGAATCTGAAGGCTTTACTGAAGCACTTTGATATCTTTCTGAGGTTTTTAGCAGAATACCATGATGACTTTTTCGCAGAGTCTGCCTATGTTGCTGCCTGTGAGGTGCACTACAGCACAAAGAACCCCAGGGTGATTATTAAGGTTTTGATGGTTCTGGAAGAACAGCTTCTCTATCTAGCTTTGTGCTCTCGGTCCCCAGTAAAGAACTAGGGAGTTGGTGGGCCTTCCTTACAGGCAGAGCGAATGCGATACCCCCCTTGGGGGGCTGTGGCGGGCCCATTTGTTTGAGCTGCTTACCTCCCGTAGTTATTTCTGTTATGGATTACTTCCTAGGTGCCTGAACGG